GTTTAATGCAAAACAAGGGATAGTAGTTTTTCGTTTGGGCTGTGTAATAATCACAGACAAAAAATGAACCCTTAAATGAATCAATAATAATGATATGATAGCAATCTTGTAACTAAGGGATAAAATATTTGTTGATAAATTTTCCTCTACATGAGATATTTTCATCCTGAAAAGGCATCGTCTGGTGTGAATTATCCGCCTCTTGAGCCAAATATTTCATAACTGCCGAAAGCAGAACAATTATTCGTGTGTGAGACTTCCAAATTCAACCAAACAAATTCTTTTTTGGAAATTTTCAACTAGCGATTTTGTTGGCCCAAACAAGACTTGTTTGACCACGTGTTTGTTTTTCTCTGTGTAGCTTCCAACCAAATCAATTCATTAACAATAACTATCTTTCCTATCAGTGTAGAAAAATCCTCCAAAAACTTCGAAATTCACAAAAAATTGATGTCTTTTCACAATTTTCTTCATATCCATTAAAAATCCCTCTCAATAAATCCTCACTGACTACATCCACAAAATCTGCACAAAACGAAATTAAAATAAATTAAAACATACGAGTATTCGAAGAACCGAGTTAGTAGATGTACATTATGTAGAGTCGATGCACAGAGATTGCAGAGAATTTTCCACGGAGAACGATGGTAGCCAAATGAAGGAGAGAGAAAGGGAGACGGAGGCATTGGATGTAAAGCACGTCTCGGACGAGAGGAATGATTAAAATTTCAATTCATTTTCCGCGTGGACTGACTCAGCCCTTCGTTGGCTTCCACACCGCACACCATCGCCTGCTTTTCCTCGACGTCTCCGGGGGTTCTCTACGTCACGACCTCTCCCGTCTAATTCTCCTTTACCTCGGGCTTTTCACTTCCATCTCTCCCTCTCACTCGCTCCTCTTCCACCTCGTACCGCCGTCCACTTCGTTATAATTTTCTCTAATGATATACTTGGGTCTCTCTGATTCTCAACGGCCAACGACTCCGTCTATATTTATTTTTTGCCTCATTTTTCGCTAATCTCGGGGTAATGGTGATACTTTCATGTTAAAGAAGAATTATATTCTTTCAATTTGTTGTCATTATTGCGTTCATTAACTTTTATTATCAAATATCACATAAACGATATTTCAATCTCAGATATAATTTTGAATTCAATAAAATCGTAATAGAAATAATGAAAATGATTTTACTGTTGGACATTTTTTTAAGGTATTGGAAACGCTAAATATCAAAACGCCACCTATGAATGGCGGATATTGGGCTGTACACAGACAGTGACAACCCAATTTGGGCTTGTGTTAGTGTGTATATGGGAAGCCTAAAATCGTCCATATTGGTGAAAACGAGCGCCGCCATCGGTAATTAGCGGTCCCAATCGTGCTAGGAAACAGGTTTTTCTTATGATTGTCCCCATGTTTTTCATAGATAATGTTTATAATATTAGTAGAAATAGTCTGATTAAACATAGATTGCTGTCAAGGTAATTTTTATTTAACCTAAGGTATGATACAAGCAGGTGGGATGAAGCCAGAAAACAGGAGACAAGTTCGCCGGAGCGCCAGAAGCGGCGTTCCGGTCGACTTACGCTTCCCCTCATCTCCTTTAGTCTCCCACCACTGGTACTTATTTTGCTGGAGGGAACGTTATGAAATTTATGTTTTCAGTGAAATGGATTGGAGGAATGTAATAGTATATCATGTCATCAGGCGATGAAAGTATTATCTGACGAATGTGGCTTTATAATCCGAGCCGAAGGCGAAGATTATAATCACATTCGTCAGATAATACTTTTATCACCGTGTGACATACACTATTTTTCGCCGATCGGCCCGAAAACCGCGATCTAGCCGAGCGAAGCGAGATTAGAATCGCGGTTTTCTCGGGCCTAGTGACGAAAAATTATGTTTTGTAAATTAAAATAGAAAATAAAAAAAATTGCTGTGAAAATTTTTGTTTTGCACGTATTGTTTTTTGAGCAGCCCTGTCCCATTTGGCATATCAAACCATATCCTTTTTTTTTCATTACGAATATCTCCGTATTTCTCGAAAAATAATGACTAAAATAGATTTAGAAATCATTTTTCATTATAATAACACCAAAAATAAAATGAAAATGAGTTTCTGCCAAAGACGAAAATTTTTTCCTTTTAACTCTATTCTTCTCTAATTATCACCATATTACAATTCCTCTTCCGTAATGAAAGAAAAAAAAAAAAAAAAGACCGAGCGGAGATTTGAACTTGCGATGCCAAGCACAACAGGCGTGTAGTGGGAGATCTGGCCGCGTGAGGGGAAGAGGCGCGACAGCGCCACGCTCGGCGCCCGATGGTACTTGTCCCCTGTTTTGGTGTCGGCGACATCAAAGCCTCACTATACCTGCTTCTATCATACCTTCATTTAACCCTCCTTAACTGGCGCTCGCCCGCCGACCGAGTCAACTGGCTCGGTTAGCACGGCGTCGTCCGTGTTATTTTACCATTTGTGAAAAAAAAAAGATTAATTTTGAGTTTAGAGGAAGGTTTCAATTTCTAATGAGTAGAAAATGGTAATGGAACTAGCAAAAAAGTGTCCATTTAATGCAAAAAGTTGATTTGATTTCGTGCCGAAATGGGATTTTTAGAGGTTAAACACGAGGATTCTAAGCGATTCGAATTTTTAAACTTTTTTGGTACTCAATCGATGTGAGTATGAATGAAATAAAAATTGCCAATAAATTCAATATAGTTAAAAGTAGGCATTTTAATTTTTTCAGATTTTCATTGACTCTCATTTCATTGAAAAAGAAAAAGTCCAAAACGGGCGGCGCGGTGCTCATTGAGCCAGTTCGGAAGGGTTAATCTTGAGATTTTTCGTGTTATTACCAAGTGCACACTGATTTTGGAGGTTATGATATGACAACTAGTGTTTGGAGCTGTTTGTTTACAAAAGTATTGTTTACAATTTTGTTTTCCAGAGCCTGATGAAGTTACTAGTATGTTTTTCGCATCGAGCGCCACTGGGGTGTTCGACGAGTGTGAGGTTTGCACGCCTCGCCTCATCTTCGGCACGGCGTGCCAATCACACTCGTCGAAAACCCCCGTAGCACTAGGCGCGAACGATATTTTTCCGTAGTGACTTTCACTTTTGCCAGTTCGGGGAAGGGTCAATACCAATCTCCGGACTGGGAAAAGTGAACGTTAGTACGGAAAAATAATTTAGCGAAACGTCGCACTATGACAATTTAATCAATGTCGTAATTAATTCTCCAATATTCCCTGACCTTTCTTAAAATATTTATAATATTCCCTAGTTGAATAGCTCCTAGTTGAACAAACTCTACGTAGTTGTACTACACAGTTCAGGAGATAAAAAATAATGAAATGCGGATTTCTAGCACGCGAGGCATTGCCAAACGGGGGTTATGGGTCCCCTCGAACTCGAATTTTCCATGTTATGAGAAAACGGTTCTTATGATGTCCTTAAAAAATAGTCCGCGATAGATTGATGAATTCTGAAAACGAGAAATTTTTTGTTAAATTTTATAGTACATAGTTTCTGCAATATTCAACTTTAAACAGGTGGGGAATTGCTCTTGTATTGTATATAGTATAATTATTTTTGTTACTAAATTAGCAATATGCTTTCGAATCGTTATTTTGCACATCATTTCCTTCTATCATGTATAATTCATAATTTTTTTCATTTTATTACATTGAATAAGTTTTCCTTTTACCTAATTTTGTCAGATTTTTAACTTAGTTGAATATTATCAGCATCATTATTCTTATCCGTTTTTTTCTGTACAACCGATTGTCTTTTTTACAGTTCTATCTCTCCCCTCAGCCCTTCGATAAAATATTAATAGAAGAATTTTATTTACACATACTTGAACGAATTTGAAACATCACATTTGGAGAAACCATCATAAAGCTCACTTTCAGGGAAATACATGAAAAATTCAAAATTTTCAACAATTATAATAAAAATCGAATCAACCAATATAGCTAACGTAATTATCTTTTAACTTCGACTTGATGGAATTAAAACAAATATTTTAAGCTATGATTGAATCAATTTGAAGCATGCTATTCAAAGATATCCCCGGAATTCTGATTTTAAAAAAATACAAAATTTAAAAAAAATTTCGAATAAATCACAATAACGATTATTGCTATCGACTTCATCTTCGAACTCGGTCAAAGGGACATCCAAATAAATTCTTGAGGCCATCATTCAATCAATTCAAACCATTTTTTGTAGTTATCTTGGGACAACCGATTTTCGAAACCATTCAAAGTAGTATGTTTCGTCATTTGGCCGAAAAAAACTTTTCTGGCGAATATGAGTTTGTAGGCCGAACCGAAGGCGAGGGTTACTATCATATGAGCTGGAAAATTTTTTTTAGGCCGTCTGTCTCATGAACTACTGTCGTTTTTCAATGACAATAATCCATTGAATAGTTTATATTTTCTCTAGGAAAAAAAAACAAATGATTGAAACAGCGATATTGTGTTAAATTCAAGATCATATTTTGTCCACTGAAGAATACATCTGATTATGTAGGAAGATTTATAAAATGATTGAAAAATTGTAATTTTTGCAGTCTACGACCTTTTTCACAAATAATTTATCCTTTATCAGAATTGTACCAAAAATCGATTTCATGTCAAAAAAATGAAATTTCCAAATTTTTAAATAATTTCCATGATTTATTTATAGAAAACGAATGTTAAACGAATTTACTCCGGAGATATGTGAATTTATGAAGAAGTTAAACGAATCCATCTAGACTCACTCTCGTTTAACAATAAAAAGTTGATAGAAAACAATTATTTTCTTTGTTTTGAATTCTTCGCGGATGTAAACACAATCGATTTACACTGCGAATAATTGTATAATAGGCACTTTTGAGGGAATACCGGCACACAACTGAGACAATTATTGAGGTTTCCACCTCCCATATGGCACTGCAAATAATAACAGAAATGATTTAGTCTCATTCTTCGTTGAGCTGTTACAACGACAACGACGCACTCACTCTCTTCTAAAGCCGAATAATCGCGATTTGTTGTTCATTCAATCTTATTTGATTAATCAGTGATTATTGAAGGGTTGATCCCTGAGATAATTAGGCCGTTTGTCAAGAGAATGAGAAATTGTTGAATTATGAAAGAGTGGTTTGAGTGTAGAGCCTCAGTTACATTAGTGAAAAGAAAACTACAATTGGATTATAAATTCCAAACATTGACCGTAAGTCATTTTCTGAGTATTGCTATCCCCTTTTTGTGAATATTTCAATCGTTTCCTCATTTCCATGAGTAAATGCGAGTAATTGTCCTCGGGGCAAATCTTTCTGCTTTGTATTTGGCTTTGTCAATAGTGAATTACATTGGTCTCCTCACGCCCAAAAAGGATAACTGATCGATTTCATTTGAATAGTGTTGTAACAATCGTTGGAACAATTGTGGAAATAGTCAGTATAGTAATACCCCAGAGCTTCAAAATTATCGGGTATTCCCCAATAGCTTCGTTGCAAACAGATAAAGGTCTTAAGTTTTGTAGGTTAAAAAATCCCGAGCACTTTTGCGCGAAGGATTTTTCAGCTAAACTTAGAACGATGGTTTGTTTGCAAGGGAGCTTGAGGGAAATACCCGATTAATTTTGAATCTCGACAGGTATTTTGGCCAAGCAGAGTGCGGTGGACAACATCAGGAGGTGAATTGGGGAAGATTTGAACAAATTATGTTAATATAATAGAATAACCCGATTTCCATAGACTGTCAAATATAAGATCCTATCTGAAATGAGCCGAAAAAATGAAGAACTACTGCGAAATATTCAAAAGCTAGGAGGAAATATCCGAAATAAAACTGTCGCGTAGCCTCAAATACTGCGCTCTGATTGGTCAAAATCCGATTGGAAAAAATAATCAGTAGTAATACCCCAAGAGCTTCAAAATTATCGGGTATTTCTCAATAGCTTCGTTGCAAACAGATAAAGGTGTTAAGTTTTACAGGTTAAAAAATTCCGAGGACTTGCGCGAGGTCCTCGGGATTTTTCTGTAAAACTTGGCATTATCGTTTGTTTGCAAGGGAGTTTGAGATAAATACCTGATTAATTTTGAATCTCCAGGGGTATTTGTTGGATTATTTTTCCCAATCGAATTTTGGCCAATCAGAGTGCAGTGGACATCATCAGGAGATGAATTACCAACCTTTTAAAAAATTACAAACCTTTCGGCAGAGAATAATACCCTCCGGTATCGATACGGTATACCTGATTACGGCATGTCAGATCAGGGTCTGAAGGGAACCGTTGCATGTTCACCTTACCAATAAATTCCAAACTTTAAGCAGGCATGCCTGATCATGCCCCAGTCAGGGCCTTTTGAGCGTACCGTGATGGAGAAAAATTAAAGTTACATCAGGCATGTCTGATAAGGGAAATTCCGGGGTCTTTTTCAACCTGTTTTGATTGAACATGAGTACCTGTTAAGTATACCGGATACGGCCAACTCGATCCGGCCGNCCGAAAAAATGAAGAACTACTGCGAAATATTCAAAAGCTAGGAGGAAATATCCGAAATAAAACTGTCGCGTAGCCTCAAATACTGCGCTCTGATTGGTCAAAATCCGATTGGAAAAAATAATCAGTAGTAATACCCCAAGAGCTTCAAAATTATCGGGTATTTCTCAATAGCTTCGTTGCAAACAGATAAAGGTGTTAAGTTTTACAGGTTAAAAAATTCCGAGGACTTGCGCGAGGTCCTCGGGATTTTTCTGTAAAACTTGGCATTATCGTTTGTTTGCAAGGGAGTTTGAGATAAATACCTGATTAATTTTGAATCTCCAGGGGTATTTGTTGGATTATTTTTCCCAATCGAATTTTGGCCAATCAGAGTGCAGTGGACATCATCAGGAGATGAATTACCAACCTTTTAAAAAATTACAAACCTTTCGGCAGAGAATAATACCCTCCGGTATCGATACGGTATACCTGATTACGGCATGTCAGATCAGGGTCTGAAGGGAACCGTTGCATGTTCACCTTACCAATAAATTCCAAACTTTAAGCAGGCATGCCTGATCATGCCCCAGTCAGGGCCTTTTGAGCGTACCGTGATGGAGAAAAATTAAAGTTACATCAGGCATGTCTGATAAGGGAAATTCCGGGGTCTTTTTCAACCTGTTTTGATTGAACATGAGTACCTGTTAAGTATACCGGATACGGCCAACTCGATCCGGCCGTGATCAGGACCAGGTAAGGTATGCCGGGAATCCTTAACTTCGAAAATTCTAAATAAGTTCAATACGGCGAACCTGATCCGGCAATGAATCAATGATCAGGTCCGGATAAGGCATGCCGTACGGGACTTAGAAAAATTTTCATCAAAGAGTCGAGGTGGAAATGGTAAAGGGTGGCGGGGTGGAGGGAAAGGGGGATGATGATCAGGAAAATTATACTAATTGATATTATTCTAGATTTAGTTCAATACTACAATTTTATTGGGAGTATTATTGATATACTCAAAACAAACAATGATTTTTAAGAATGATACGGACCGACGGCAGTGGCTGTGTGGTTAGAGTGTGGGATTGGCATGCGGGAGACCCGGGTTCGATTCCCGGCTGGGGGGGCCAAAATTTGTGACACTCAAATCTCGCGGTTTCATTGCCGAGTGGGAGTTTCGCAAGAGACGACTGTACCTGGGCAGGTTTTTCCCTCAAGTGAGGTTTTCCCTTGTCCTTCGGCGAATGCGCTGCAANGACCCGGGTTCGATTCCCGGCTGGGGGGGCCAAAATTTGTGACACTCAAATCTCGCGGTTTCATTGTCGAGTGGGAGTTTCGCAAGAGACGACTGTACCTGGGCAGGTTTTTCCCTCAAGTGAGGTTTTCCCTTGTCCTTCGGCGAATGCGCTGCAAGGGGTTGGGGGGTGGGAAGGGAACAAATCGTAAAGATCCGAAAGGGTATACGAGAAGAAAAAATTGAAAAAAAAAAGAATGATACGGTGTTCGAGTGGATAGAGTACAGAACTACTATGCGGAAGGTCCCGAGTTCAAGTCCCGCTCTGGGTGATTTTTTTTTCTTTTTTTTCTCGACCCGCCTATTCTGGGACTTTATTTATTTATTTATTATTCTTCATTTTTGGCCCAATTTAATAATTCAGTTAGCAATTTATTAATTTGTAGCAAAGTGTGTGCCAGGTAAGGGCGAAACCAGGCCGCCTGTCACGGCCCTTATCAGGTTTAGAAATCAGGTCCTGATCATACTTTGCGTTACATTTCCTATCAGGCTCTGATGTGGTAACCGTAACAGGGCCGAATCTTTTCTACAGCACCGTGGACCAGGGCCTGACCAGCCAAGTACTAAAATTTTTACTCGGGTAGGGAAGATGTGAACAAATTATATTAATAGAATAACCCGATTTCCGTCGAATGTCAAATACACGATTCGATCCGAAATGAGCCGAAAAAATGAAGAGTAAAATACTGCAAAATATTTAAAAGCTAGGAGGAAGTATCCCAAATAAAACTGTCGGGTAGCCTGAAATACTGCGCTCTGAATGGTCGAAATCCGATTGGGAAAAATTATTCTTGATATAATTATCAATTAAAATTCGAAAGCAAAAAATTTCTCCATTAAAAAATTATCTTAAATAGAAGTGACTTGAGAACAATAGTCCTGTTTGGGCCAACAAAATCGTTAGTTGAAAATTACCAAAAAAATAATTGTTTGGTTCGAATTTCAAAATCTCAACTATGAATAATTGCTCTGCTTTTAACACCCTCAAAATATTTAGCTCAAGTGCCTTTTCAGGATAAAAATATCTTTTATAGAGGGAAGTTCATCAAGAAATATTTTGTCCCTAAGTTATAAGATTACTGTCATATAATTATTATTACTCCATTCATGAATTCATTTTTTGTATGTGATTATTGAATAACCGACACAACAAACTACTATCCCTCGTTTCATATAATACGAGCATTTGCCGGGAGCGAAATACGTATGGGAGCTTCCAATATCGAAGAAGTAGTGCTAGAAATTACATTTCTTGCTTGAACAGAGAATAAAATTTTTTTGAAAAGACTAAATCTGTTTTTGCAATAAAAATTTTTAATCTCGGCGCACACTTCGCATTTTTACGATTTTTTTTGGCACAAGTAAGATTTGTTTGAGAACTCTGCTGTTTTTCTCTCGGTGAAATTTGAAATTTCATGATTTTGTCCCCTTCGAATTGAATTCAATGTTGCCATGACATTTGAATTTTTTCTTTTATACCGAATGTTATCATTTTAACTAATGGAATTCCAATTCTTTGACTCGCAGGAAGACCAGTATTTAGCAACTTATTTGAATATTCAATCAAACCATAGATATTAAATACCAAACTATCCTAAATTCTCAATTCCTTGAAAATTCGAGTAGATTTCCATCGATTTTCTGACGCAATTGTTAATTTTTAATTATGAAATTCCTAAATATTTGATTGGAACTGTCACTGAAGTTTCAGCCAAAATTTGTTAATAACGTAGAATGCCAACAATTCCTCCATTTCCTAAAATAGAGAAAAAAAAAGATCTGAAAATTCTGCAAAGATCCGTATCAAAGATCATTGCCATTTCCCGCCCCCAAACTATAAAACTCCAGATGTGATTTGCGAATATCATCAGAAAGTTGACCCCCCAGTGGATGAGAATGAAGCCAAGGGAAAGGGAAATATCTCCGTGTCAGATTGAATCAGCCTAAGCAACATCCACTCTCCCCCTGCAACCCCGCTCCACTGACTATATTTCCTCCTAGCAACCCCACAGGCATTCTAGCGTTGTGGACGCTGTCGAGCTGACCGTGCCACTATCAGCCAGATATTCGCTGGCGTGGCGTTTGCGCCCCATTTTATTAAGGAAATTCAAGCGTCCAGGACGAGCTTCGTCCATTCGTTTTTTTATTCTCCATTCTCCACAAGCGTCCTACCAAGCCTTGGCAAAGGTCACTATGTAACTTGCTATCGTGACACGTGCGGCGACTTGCATTCCGCTGTATCATGTTTCTTTCCATCTATCCCTCACCCCTTGATTTTTTTCAACCCCCTTGTGCATAATAAGAAAAACCATTATGTGGAGTCAAAAAGAAAATGGAAAATTTTGGAAAACAGTCACGTGAGCGGATTCAATATGCTTGGCATTTATTTAGGTATTCGATGGGAGGAATTCGATGGGGAGTGGCAGGACGAGATAAAAGTTATTTA